AGTGATTGACTGGGCTGTCTGGTCAAGGTTGGGTGATGGCAGAGGTGGGAAAGGAGGCTGATGCTAGGTTGTGAGAGGCCTTGAATGCCAGGTGGAGGGGTAGGTCCATGGGAGGATTTTAAGCAGAGAGGGTGTTAGAAAGGTCCTTCCGGTTCTGGAAGACTGGTGGTCTGGGCATGCAGAATATGTCTAGCAGCTCGGAAGGTCAGAGTCCTCAGCATTCCTGAAGGCTATGGAGTAAGGGTGCCAGCAGAATTCCCTGGCAGAGACAAACAAGGCTTTGCACGTGCAGCCTTGTGAATTCACTGTCTGCCCAGCGGGCTGTGAAGTGCCAAGTGTGTCTGGAGCACCACTGAGAGACAAGGCAGAGAAGTGGCCGCATCATTTCATGAAGGGTCTCAGCTTCCAGGCTGAGGAACTTGAACTTGGTCCTGAGGCCACTGGGAGCTGTGAGTGGTGCATAAGTCACATTCCACATGGTTATGAGAAGACTATGCTAGGCCAGTGTGGGAAGGGAACTGGCAGCCAAGGAACCGGGAAGAAGTCTGGCTCTGGGGTCCAGATGAAGGAGGGAGGGGCCAGCAATGGGGCTTAGAGAACAAACAGAAGATTATGGCTCAAAGAACCTATTAGGGTGTGGACACACTAGAACTTGGTGGCTGTCTGGCTTTGGGAAGTGAGGGAATGAAGATATTCAAGGGTTTGGACTTATGCAGATGTGAGGCTTCATCAAGATCCTGTCCCATGAGGGTGACAGTGATACTTTTTAAGGGTGAAGAGAAATATAAAAAAATTTTTAAGGGAGAAGAAAAATATTAAAAAATATTAAAATTTTGACTTTTGGAGGGGATGCTCAAATGTATTCATTCACTCATTCGTTCATTTATTCAACTACTATTTACTACTATTCCCCTACCTTCTCCAGGTGCCTTTGGTGATGCTATCATGCTAGCATGTCAGGACAGAGCTGGCCTGCCTTCTTGAAGTATGAGAAAGGCAGACAGTGAAACAGCAGATCCATAAGTGTTCAAAGCCATGCTGGATCCTGATGTGGGGTGCACATGAAGTAAAGTGATGAGATAAGTTATTGCCTATGTGAACTGACACCCCCACCAAAGGTTTCAGTGCAAAATGTTACTTTAGCTGAGACCTGAATGGCCAGAAAGAATCTACCCTTCTGAGTGGCAGAAAGGAACATTCCAGAGACAATAGCAACAGAGGCCCTCAAAGTGGGAAAGGCTGTCAGGTTGAGCAATGGCACAACCGTGGTGATAGAGCCAGGAAAGGAAAGCCAGCCAGTCTGCACAGCCTGCAAGGGCTTTGGGGTTGATTGTAAGCTCAGGTTTCAAGTCAGGTTATGATAAGATTCCATGGGCTTAAAGGATACCACCTGGGTACTGCCACGGAGAACAGGGTCTAGAGGAAGGGACTGGTGATGGAGACAGTGTTGCTATGAGCTGGGAGTCAATGTTGATGGGGTGGGTTGGGGAGAAGTGTGAGGTGCCAGCCAATAGGATGGCCTTTCCTAACCTGGGACCAGGCAGATGCAGGTGCCGTCTCACCTTCAGATGTGTGATCTTCAACCACTGTGTGATATCTTCTGTAAAATAGGGATCCTCGTGGCATTTAATTGGTGAGTCTGCTTTGAGTGTTCTGCACATTAGCAATGACTGTCCCTGAATAAGGGCTTAATAAATATTGGTCATTGTTGCTATTTTCTGATACTGGGGTGGGGCGAGTATAGCTCTCATGGGTGCAACTAGTTAATGGAAACTTGAGAGCAGGATCAGGGTGGGAGACTCAGATTGGGTAGCTGTTCCTGTTGACCAGTCATTCTCAACCAGGAGTAGTATTGCCCCTAGAGAACACTGGGCAATGTGGAGAAACTTCTGAGTTGTCACCACTAGAGCTCGGGGGATTGTGCTCCACATCCTGTAGTGTACAGGATGGGCCCAGAATGAATGATCCAGCCCAAAATGTCACTGCTGAAGTTGAGAAGCCTGGTTAGACAGAGGGAACAGTTGAAGTTTGTGGGAATGGTGACCCAGAAAGCAGAAAGGGTAACAAACTCAAGTGTCTCTAATGTGCAAGCAAGTGAACAGGTGGGTGAGGTGGGTCAGGTGACCAGAGCAGGGGTGGAGCCCTTTAGACCAGGCAGGCCCTTAGTTTACCAGTCTCCAATGTCCCTACTACTTCCCTTTCCCCTAGATGTGTCAGTGTTCAGTGTCAGAGATGGCTGTTCTAGACATAAAATTACCAAAGCAGGAGGACATCTAAGGCAATGATGTACAGTAGAGGTAGAATGAACCACATATGAAATTTTAAATTTTCTAGTAGTGCTAAAAAGGAAAAGGAGCATGCAACATTAATTTTAATACATACCTCATGTAAACCAGTATGTATCCAAAATTGTATTTCAGAATATTCAATATAAAAATTAGATTGAGCGCAATAGCACAAGCCTGTGATCCCAGTGGCTTGGGAGGCTGAGACAGGAAGATTGTGAGTTCAAAGACAGTCTCAGCAAAAGCGAGGTGCTAAGCAACTCAGTGAGAAACTGTCTGTAAATAAAATACAAAATAGGGCTGGGGTTGGGGCTCAGTGGCCAAGTGCCCCTGAGTTAAATCCCTGGTACCAAAAAGAAAAAAAAATATATATATATATATAAATTATTCACATGATAGTTTACCCCCCCAACACTAAATCTTTGGAGTCTGTAGGGAATTCTGCACTTAAGCACATTTTATTGCAGATTAGATGTGTCAGGTGCTCAGTGCCAGGGATGGCTGTTCTAGACAGCACAAGGTTAAGGGAACTTTAATTTTAGCTTAATATAAAATTGTTTGGATCACTTGAGGGTTTCTGGAGAAGATAGGAGACTTTTTCAGTTCCAGCTGATTGTTGCCACATCTGGGGATGTTTATTTCCATGTGTGCCTGGGAATTCGAATCTGTGCACTTTCTGGCATTTGAAATTTGAAATATCTGGCATTTGAAATAGTGGAATAAAAAGCCCCAAACCAAAACTACAACGACCACCATCACCACCACCACCACCACCACAATACCCTTTGTAATCAAATCAAACATAATGATCCCATTTTGGCCCTCAGGCTTCAAGTTTGAACTGGTTGAGGGCGGAATATGTAGTGACCCCATAGGATAGGTAGCTAGTACCCACTGTGGCTATATAGATTTAAATTGAGGACTTAAGTCAAATTTGTACTTATCCTTAGAGGCATTAACCTCATTTGAGGTGAGCAAGAGCCCGACGTGGCTAGGGGCTATGACCTCACAGAGTAGACAGAGCATTACTGCCGTTAGAGATGTGCTGGACAGCTCCCTAGAAGAGGAGAGCTGGGGTTCAGGTTCTGGTCCTCGAGTTGGGCACGAGAGAAGGGTTCCCTTCTTTTCCTCTGCCGCTTCCAGCTGCTACTGCCGCTCTGCCCCCACTCCTGTGTCGGTGATGCGTGGCTCCGTGGCCGCGCTCTGTGTGAAGCGCCTACCTACTCATCACTTCTCTGCACACTCTGCAATTTCTCAACCTACGCCTGGGCCAGGGCTCCAGCAGCCCGAGAGGGTCCCCGCATGCACTGCTGACACCGGGGCCTCCCAGTGCTTCTGTGCCAGGGAGGCGCACCCGGGCCCCATCCCACGCTCTGCCGACGCCCTTCCAGATCTCAGCCGGCTGGCAGTAAGCACATGGGCGCTAGGCTTGCTGCAGGGCGGCCACTTCCCCACCTGCCGGGTGGGGAGGCCCGCCCTTCCCCCCTGCATATCCCGCACTGCCTGGCCGTCTCTGGGCCTCGGTTTTCCCGCGTGTTCGGTGGGAAGCGCACAACTTCACACCTCTGTACACAGCAGTGACTGGCCTACTCTGGGCTTCAGGTCCCCGCGCGTCCACAAGAAAGTACCACACCTCCCCACCAATAAATCTAGCGAACTCCAGGCCCAGTTTCCCCATGTGCCCACCCAAAATATCACATGTTCCCACCCGCACATCTGACAACTGGCCTCCTGGGCCTCTGTTTCCCCATTTGCGGACGGAAGAATCGTGGCTATTCACATCAGAGCAAACGGCTGGCCTCGACCTCTGTCTCCCCATTTGCTCCATCGACAGAAATATCCCTGAGGGCCTTCAGAACGACGGAACTGCTCAGCCAGGGAGGTGGATCGGAGCAGGGGAGCCGGGCCGGGCCCGGCCTTTGGCAGGTCCTCCAGGCCCCTCGAAGCTCCGCGGCTGTCCCCCGGTGAGGGGCCGACTCCGGCGGCGGAACCTTCGTGCGGGGCGCGCGTGTTCCCCGCCGGCGCCCTTTCCCAGGGACGCCGCCGCCCCTCGCGCCCCCGCGCCCCAGTCCCGCGTACCCGGCGCCGCCGGCCCGGAGTTGCCCGGAAGCTCGGTCCCACCGCGGCGCTCACCAGGGCAAGCCCGGGCCGCCGGGACCTCGGCCCGCTCCCGGACCCGAGAGGCCGCTGCACCGGGTACGGGGCAGGGATGGGGGAGGAGCCGGCTTTGGGGCCGACGGGCTGGGCGGTGGGGCGGGGACGCCGCCGCCGAGGGGCTCCGGGGCAGGGCGCCCCGCGGGGCGAGGAGTCGGGGGCCGCGGGGGCGGGGCGGGGCGGGGCTGGGGGCGCCCGGCGCCGGGCCGCCGGGGCGAGAGGCGGGGGCGCGGGGAGGGGAGGCGTGCCAGCTGCACCCCGAAGAAGGGACGCGGGGCTCTGGAGGGGCCTGCGGGAGAGGGCGGCGGCCCGGGGGAGAGGAAATAAAGATGTCGGTGTCATCGGTAGCGGCGGGGGCACCCTCGGGGGAACGGAGCAGGTAGCAAGGTGGGGGGCTGGATGTACAAAAGAAGCGGGTGAGGCGTCCTAGGGGCTGTCGATGAAGAGAGGCCAAGTGGAGAGAGCAGGGTGAGGCCTTGAGGTGCGACTCGTGGGGACAGCAGAGGAGCCTTGAGTGAAAGTGGGGAATTGGGTTAGTAGGACTCTGGGGAAGTACCCGGGGAGGCGCGGGGTGGCCGAGATGGGGAGGCCCCGAGGGCATCTAGTAGGTGGGGACCCTGAGGGAAAGACGCAGCCCGGGCTCAGCTGCAGCTGAGCGGTGGGGACAGGAATGGACAGGTGGGGACGTCCTGGAGGCCACAGGGCTAGGGGGGTGAGGTAGGAGACACCCCTGCTCGGACATTGGTTCCCACGTGGGGAACGGGAGGGCGATGCCTGCAGAGGGAGAGCCAGGAGGAAGGGCAGGGTGGAGCAGGACTTGGTAAGCCCGGTTGGAGTGGCCCGGAGCAGATGGAGGGAGGCTGGAGATCTGGGCTGGAGTGCGTTCTTATTTTATAGAGCGGTAGGTCAGTGGCGCGGAAAGGGTGACAGGCCGCGAGAATGGGGACGCCTTCCCTTTTAGGCAGCTTTTCCTGAAAGGAAGAGGCGATCTTAACTTCTCTCCCCTCCGCCGCTCCCAGCTGCCGCTCCAGATGCTGCTGCTGCCGCCGCGGCCACCCCACGCTCGGTCCTCCTCTCCGGAGGTCATGGACCCACCGCCCCCCAAGGCTCCCCCATTCCCCAAGGCGGAAGGCCCCTCATCCACGCCTTCCTCGGCGGCGGGGCCCAGGCCCCCGCGGCTGGGCCGCCACCTGCTCATCGACGCCAACGGGGTCCCCTACATGTACACGGTGCAGCTGGAGGAGGAGCCCCGGGGACCGCCCCAGCGCGAGGCGCCCCCTGGAGAGCCCGGCCCCCGTAAGGGCTACAGCTGCCCGGAGTGCGCCCGTGTCTTTGCCAGCCCGCTTCGGCTGCAAAGCCACCGTGTGTCGCACTCGGACCTCAAGCCCTTTACCTGCGGCGCCTGCGGCAAGGCCTTCAAGCGCTCCAGCCACCTGTCGCGGCACCGGGCCACGCACCGCGCCCGCGCGGGCACTCCGCACGCCTGCCCGCTCTGCCCGCGCCGCTTCCAGGACGCCGCGGAGCTGGCGCAGCACGTGCGCCTGCACTGAGCCCGAACCTGCGCCGCCCTGCCCTCTCTGGGCCACCACGTCTGACCCACACAGCGCGACTCCCACATACACTCCCCGGTTCTGCCGAGGTTACTGCTTTACCCTGTGCCTCGGTTTCCCCGTGTACCCAAAGGAAAAAACAGCATTCCTTCCTCCCCCTCCCCCTAGCTGTGTGATGTAGACCAAAGTTGTTGCCCCTCCCTGGGCCTGGGAGCCAGTAGGAGTTGGGCTCCTGTCTGGCTGTGCTTTGTGAGCCTTTGCAAACGACGCGATCTCTCTGAGCCTTGTTTTTCCGGCTCTCTCAAGTGGTGAATGGTTGTTGTCTGCATAGAAGGCAGAGAAAAGAGCACCGGCACGGTCTGATTCGTCTCAGTACCTCCCCCTTCTGCCCATGACCCCCCCTCCCCAATTCGTTGCTCAATAAACATTCCTCACTCCACTTTCAGGCTCCTACTTGCGTGTGTACTGGGACAGGGCAGGGGGTTAAGACCGGACCTTGGGCACCCAGGAACCTTCTTCTCGGTGTGTGTTTCCAGCCGGCGCCCATTCCCTAGCTCTCAGGTGCCCCGCCTCCACCGTCCTCCCCTGGACCCTCATCTTTTTCCCCCGACCCTCGTTCCCCTCACCCAGTGCCGCCAGCTCCTGGGGATATCCAGAGGTCCCCGTCCCGCCGCCGCCTGAAGCTGCGAAGGCAGCTCGGGGTCGTCTGGAGCCGCCCGGACATTAGAGGCTGCTGCACCGGGTACGGGGCGGGGCGGGAGGGAGCCGAGCGGGGGCGGGGCCGTGCCCGGCACCTGTGTTGGGCTGGGAGGCCCGGCCCGCGGCGTCCCAATCCGGCTGGTGGCGCCAAAAGGCTCTGCAGGCGGCAGGCGAGGACCGTGGACCGGGGCGGGCCGGTGGAGAGCTCCAGGGCCTAGGAAGAGGTGTGGGGTGGAGAGGCGCGAACTAGAGGGAGCCTGGAGGTACAGGATGGACCCTCACCTAGACCCGGGTCGGGCCGTAGCCTGGGAGAGGCCGGAGCCATAGAGGGGCAGTTACCTGAGAAGGGCAGAGGGGGGAAGGGGAGCAAGGTCCCGGTTGTGCATCAAAGAGAGAGCGCCTATGAGTACTGTGGGCAGTGGAGACCAGAGGACAGGAGACCTCGCCTGCCTTGCAGAGGGTCACAGAGTACAGTACTGGGTAGAGAGACTGAGGGGCAGCAAAATGCAGAGGTCCTGGTAGGGCACATAGAGGGGAAAGAACTGAACCCATGGTTCCGTGCTCCTCTGTGCTGTGCAAACTTCTCATCCTCTCTCCCATCCACCAGGCCTCAGCCACCCCTCCGGATGCTGGTGCTGCCGTCCCCTTGCCCCCAGCCCCTGGCGCTTCCCTCTGTTGAGGCCATGGAGGCCCCTCCCCCTCGGACAGGCAGGTCCCCTGAACCTGGACCTTCCTCCTCCACTGGATCTCCCCAGACTTCGTCCCCTCCAAGGCCCAACCACTACCTTCTCATTGACACCCAGGGTGTCCCCTACACAGTGCTGGTGGACGAGGAGTCGCAGAGGGAGCCTGGGGCTGATGGGGCTTCGGCGCAGAAAAAGTGCTACAGCTGTCCTGTGTGCTCCAGGGTCTTCGAGTACATGTCTTACCTTCAGCGACACAGCATCACCCACTCAGAGGTGAAGCCATTCGAGTGTGACACCTGCGGGAAGGCATTCAAGCGGGCCAGCCACCTGGCACGGCACCACTCCATTCACAGAGCCGGTGGTGGGCGACCCCACGGCTGCCCGCTCTGCCCTCGCCGCTTCCGGGATGCGGGGGAGCTAGCCCAGCACAGCCGCGTGCACTCCGGCGAGCGCCCGTTTCAGTGCCCACACTGCCCGCGCCGCTTTATGGAGCAGAACACGCTGCAGAAGCATGCCCGGTGGAAGCATCCATGATCTGGTATCATGCATCCCAGGGTTGTAGGACTACTGAAGCCCTGAGACACTTGTGGAGGTGCAGGCCTGCTCTCAGGGCCCTGGACACAGATGAAACTGGCCTCCTCTGGAAGTGATTCCCTTCCTGGAGGAGGAATCCCTAAGCCATTGCTGCGAGCTCGGTGCTTTAGAGCTGTGATGGGCACAAGTGAGCCCTCACACAGAATGGGGTCCTTTGGCTCTGAAGACCTGGGGTGGTCCATGATAGAGCCTTGACTGGAGGGGCCAAGGGAGAAAATGTTGTGCCTGAAAACTTGCCCCTTCAAGAAAACAGCCCTTGGGAGGCCTCACTGTCTTCCTGAGGCCACTATGCTGACACTGGGCAGGGTCCAGACCTGCCTTCTTTTCCCAACCAGGACTTGAGGCTGGACACCCAATAAACAGCTTCCCATTCTGAGCACTTGTTCTTGGAGACTGCATCTTGGACCTTCTTTGTTCTAGTAGAACCTGCCTCCTGTGGGCCTTGGCTGTCCTGGTTAGGGAATAGGACTGTTGGCCTGCCCTAGGGTCAGGCTCATCTCAGCTCCTGAAGACTTGTGTCATCTGGAAGAGTGTTTTAAAACTTTCTTTAAACATAACCCACTGTAACATACATGTTTTATACGAAGCCCAATATACAGATACACAAAATGTATGTAAAACGAGTTTCTTCAACAATAGCCATCTTTAGTATGTGCAGGGCCCCTTGATTTTTTTTTTTCTTTTCTTTTTTTACTATTTTTATTTTAAATGTAGAGTCCACCCTACTATATTAAATTCTCTGCCCATGAACCTGCAGTTTGGAAAACACTGATCTAGGGCAGATGGCTCCCCCTGGACCTTCTGATCCAGGCTGCAATTTATCTGTAAGTGAAGCAGGAGGGGGATGGTTGCAGTTCTCTTGCTTGGAGCAGACATTCAGACTCTCTTCGAAGGGTTGAAACCTTGCCCTCTTAAGGGCTTCATGGTCTCAGAGCACAGATACTGCTGGTGAATGGGAGGAGAGGAGGTGGAATTGAGCTTTGAGCTTAATAAATATCTGCCTTCTTAGCGCATCTTCCTTGCCTATTTTGTGCCAGGCACTGTGCTGGGCTTACTTTCCTGTTCCGACCTCTTGGGGCAGAAAAACTAATGTCCCATATGCACTCCCCAGAGTGGGAAAGAACGTCCCAGGGACTGTTCACACCCCTCTGTCTGACCTTAGATAAAACCAACAGCGCTGAGATCTTGAGCCCTGTGTGTGGCCAGGAATTAGGCTGAGTTTTTGTGTGTCATCTCAGCATTCTCACAAGGAACCTAGTTGGGATTGTAATCTCCCCACTTAACAGGTGAGTACATGGAGGCTGGAGACTGGACTCCAACTGTTCCACAGCAAGCTCCTGGTCACCTTTATGGGGTTGGTGGTGACTGTTTTTGGACTTCATTTCCAGGTGAGGGGTAACTCTCACTCCACTTGCCATCCTGGCCCGACATCCCTGGAAACCTTGGGTTCTGGCTGAGAGAGATGGGATCATACCAGCCAGTTCCTGGAGAATCGCTAAGAGCGGATTCTCCTCTCTTCAGTTTTCCTGGCTTGCTTCTCCCTTCTCCCTGCGACTTCCCCAGTCGACTAGACACTGGGGGACCCCCGGAGCTGCGCCAGCTCTTCAGGATGGGAATTTCTTGACGTTCCCTGCCTGTTCTATGGGGGAAGGCGGAGGGGGGAGTACTTCAAGGGGCCATCGCGCAAGTGCGGCCTTAGCCTCCGCGCAAACGGCGGGCCTCACCTGGGCGCTGGGACTTGTAGAGGAGGCGCGCCAGGCAGGCTGGACGGGGCAAGTCCCCGCGTCCCTGCCGGCTACGCTGCCCAGTTCCGAGACGACCCCCCGCAATCCCCTGCGTGCTCGCGGGTGGGCGCTTCTCTCCGCTCCCTGTGACACTTTGCAGACGTTCCCCGGCGCCAGGCAGGGTCGGCCGCTTCCACCGTCGGTCCCTGGGCCGGATTCCGCGCGCTGGTGGGTGAGCGCGGGGAGCCCCCCACCCCCGGCTCCTCGGACCCCGGGAAGCCATTGGTGGGGTATGGTGGCCGCATTCGCACCCCTGGCCTGAGCGCGCCCTGCTGGGACCCTTTTCTATGACTGTCCCCTCCCACTTGCGGGACAAAGGGCGGGGGCGGGGGGGAGCGCATCCCCACGCGTGACCTTCTCCCACACTGTGCACGTGTCCCCCGCCACGGGGAAAAGGCCCTGCTTGCCCACGCGAGTGCGGGGGAGGGGCGTGGGGTGCCTGAGGGAGGAGGCAGCGGTGTGGGCTGGACTGCCACCCCATGCTTGGAAGTTGGGGCGGTCTCCCTTCACTGTACCTAAGGCTTTTTTGGAGCGGAAAATGGTCCGTGGTGGGAGTCCTTCACATTCAAGCCAGTGTGACCCTGCTGTGTGGATCCCAGAGGGAACCCAGCAATTCTCCCTATATAACAGGGGTCCACGGCTCCAGCTTACTTCTCCCCAGAACCTACGTGTCTGGGTCCTCAGCACCTTCATTCAAGAGGAGTCTGGAGTATAGGTTCCTTCCTCCCTCAGACCTGGGAGTCCGGGTCCTTTCTCATTTCCGAGGAGTGAAGCCAGGACTGACCCCACTTGTGGCTGCTGTTTCTGTCCAGTGCCCCTGAGGCGCTCAGCTGCTGGGTCTGCAGGAAGCTTCGTTATGAATGACCGAAACATCCGTAGGTGGACAAGTGAGGAGCCTCCCTTCCCCAACTTGGCCCATCATCCCTGTCCCTCCTTCCCGGGCTGCTGTGGTTGGGGGTGGTGAGAGGCCCTGAGTCATCCCTAGGGGACCACCACGGGCCTCTCCTCTACAGTGAAGAAGGACGAGGAGTCTTTGGAGATCTCCATCCCCTTTGATGAGGCACAGCGCCTAGATTCACAGATCTTTTACAGCCTCAGCCCCTCCCGGGGGAACTTCGACGGTGAGCTAAGGGCTTGGAGGTTTGGTTAGCTGGGGTGCTGCCCTGTAGTGGTGTGTGACTGGGGACCCTTTTCCCTCCCTGCTGTCCCTAGAGCCTCCAGAGGCTGCATCCCCCACACTGGCCCTGATGAATGGCGTCAAGGCCCAGCTGCACATGGCCTTGGAGAGGAACTCCTGGCTGCAGAAGCGCATTGAGGACCTGGAAGAAGAGAGGGATTTCTTGCGGTGTCAGCTGGACAAGTTCATCTCCTCTGCCCGGATGGACACAGGTGGGGGGCACTGACACAGTTGCCCCCAATCCGTCCCACCCACAGGCTGAGGCCCCACTGTATGGTTGGCTTGGTGGGGTCCTGGCATCTCGGTCCTGTCTGCTAATTTACTGCTCAGCTTCCATCTTGCTTGAAATCCAGGACCTCCCATCCACTAGGATCTCTTCCTTTCCAGTGGACTGCCCCACACCCCATCAGCCCCCAGCCCCTGTGTCCTAGGGTAATCTGGAACCTGAGTCCAGGTTCCTCTTCCTTTTCCCTAGAGGACCACTGCAGTTCTTTGGGTTCTTCAGGGGATCTTGCCCTGCATCCCAGCTGTCTTTTCAAGCATCCAGGCCTCCAGCCTTCTGTGCCCCAAAGTGACTTGTCTTCCTACCTACCCTGTCCCCTATCTTGGCTAATGCTCCTTCCTCTTCAAAGAGCTTCAACTCTCTGCAAGTGGAGTCAGCCTCTAACCTGGGGATTAACTCTGCTGTAATTCATGGCCAGCAGCAGCCTCCCAAGGCCAGTTTGTGATTGCCCTGTTGGCAATGTTCTGACCACTATTCCAGCCCCTTCCCTAGAGAGTCAGGGCTTCCCTTTGCCAGATCTTGAGCCCATCTTGGAGAACTCAACTCTGTGCACCTCCCAACCTCAACTGGGTTCCTTGCAAACTTCCTAGCTGGTAACTGCCTCCAAAGCCTGGGCAAGGGTCCTGTGGTGTTTGAGGTCTGTTACTAGTGACCATAGGATTATGGATCTGTACTTTCCTGTCTCTCTACACTGAGGGTTTCATCCTGGGTGACTGCCTTGGATGACAGGACTCTCTGGGTCTCGGCTGCTGTCTGGGTATCCTTAGCCAGAAACTTGGTTTTTAGGGGTCTCACACCACCCACCAGGACCAAGGCCTTATCTGGCTTCTGAGTTTCAATACTCAACACTCTGGAGGTTCCTCTGGATCCCTGGAAAGCCTGTTCTCCTCATGAGAACCCCACATGGTTAAGATCTGCCTGAAGTCCAGGTCCCCAGACCTCTGGAACAGCCCTCATCCAGGTCTCCAACTTTAGGAGCTTGGGAAAGGGGTCCATCCATGCCCACCTCTTCTTAAGTTCCAGCTGGCCTACTCTACTCAGGATTGTCACCACCATGTGCAATGCACTCCTTGTCTGTCTGTCTTGGTGGGGGCACCCTGGTTGGGGGTGGGTCCAGTCTCTCACTGTGGGATATGATCTCCAGGTGCTCAGGCCCTTTCTCTTTCCCCTGGGACCAGTGATGTGAGGTCTGCAGTCCCAGTTCATGTGTCTCTGTCTCCCCAGAGGACCACTGCCGGGTGAAGCCTGGGCCCCGGAGGGTTGAGGGGGACAGCAGGGCTGGTGGCGAGGCCTCAGACCCTGAATCAGCAGCCTCCTCACTCAGCGGGGTGTCTGAAGAAGGCAGTGCCGGCGAGAGGAAGAGGCGGAACCAGAAGGGAAATGCAGGCCGGAGACGCTTCGGGAAGCCCAAGGCTCGGGAGAGACAGCGGGGTGAGCGGGATGCAGGTGTCCTAGAGGTCTGGGCCCCAGACTTGCGCTGTGACTTCCGCAGAGCCCCGACCTAGCTAGCCTCTCCGTGTGTAAAAAGACCAGACCTGGGTGCATCCCGCAGCCTTCTCCCCAACTTCATGACCTTGGTATCTTCCTCAGAAAGAGGAGCTCCTTTCTCATAGGGTGCTCAAAAGCGGATTCACTTAAGTGGGAGGAGTGTGGGCGGGTCTGGAAACGCGTGGCTGACAGCCCTCTCTGCTTCTGTCTCTGGCCTGCCCTCTCCAACTTCCCCCTGGCCCAATCTTCTCCCGTGCGCTCTCTTCCTCCGGCTTTCCGTATGTGCTCCCTCGTCTTTCTCCATTGCCCTCACCGGCTCTGCCTTCTTGATCTTCTCTTCCCTGCCTCCATTTCCTTTCCTGTGTGTCCCTCACCCCTTCCCATGTCTGCCCTCCTGTTTCCTATTCCGCTTTCCCTATATTTCTCCCTGTCCCTGTCCGTTTGTCTGCCCTCCTTGGCTTCGCAGTGAAGGACGCTGATGGGGTTCTCTGCCGCTATAAGAAGATCCTGGGTACCTTCCAGAAGCTAAAGAGCATGTCGCGGGCCTTCGAGCACCACCGCGTGGACCGTAACACAGTGGCGCTGACCACGCCCATCGCAGAGCTGCTCATCGTGGCCCCGGAGAAGCTGGCCGAGGTGGGCGAGTTCGACCCGTCCAAGGAGCGCCTGCTTGAGTACTCGCGCCGCTGCTTCCTGGCACTGGACGACGAGACGCTCAAGAAGGTTCAGGCCCTCAAGAAGAGCAAGCTGTTGCTGCCTATTACTTACCGCTTCAAGCGGTGATGCCCGGCTGGCGCGGCCCTCCCGCCGCCCCGCCCCACCCCACCTGCGGCGGCCCGCTCCCCCAGGGCTGCCACCGCACTCCACGGAGTCAGAGTTATTCAGAGAATTTAAATTAAAGAGGCGTAAAAAATTTGGAATAAACTGGGCCCAGCTCTTCTTAGGAGGGGGGCGACCGTTGCCACGGAGACGGGGATGGCCAGGCGGAGCCGGGAGGTTGGGGAGGACAGGGTGTAATTAGCCCCGGAGACGTAGGAGTGGAGGGCAGGAGCTGTTGCTCAAGAAACTCGAAGGATGAGGCTCCAGAAAATAGGCGTGACACGGACCCCTGGGCTACCTGGGCAGAGGTGCGGCGGGAGCGGCCACCTGGGGGACCGGGATGTGTGGGTTTATACTGCTGCCAGTCCGCCAGGGGGCAGCATGCGAATTGGTCCTTCTCCCGGAAGTGGCATTCCCACTGTCTCCCGCGCTTCCGCGGAGAGGTGCTCACGCGCTAGCTAAGGCATCGAGGAGAGGGATGTCTAGCTTAACGGTCGGGAATTCAGCACTTTTATTCTGGGAGTGGGAGGGTAAAAACTTCGCGCATGCGCACTGTGGACCTTGGAACCCGTCTCGCTTTCGGAGCAGCCAGAAATCTCACCTCGGACGGATTTCTACGCAGGCGCAGACGCCTGTCTCGCCCCCCCCCCCCCGCGCCTCTGCCATCGTGCGCAGGCGCAGAAAGGCGCGCTGGCAACCTCTGCAGCGGCCGTGCGCTCCTTTCACCTGGCTGGCTGCTTTTGTCTCGCGCTCCTACTCAAAGCCCCCCTGAGGTTGAGCTTTCTTTTCTTCTGCTCTCCCCACAGGGAGAGCCAGGTGCCGAGAGCCGGGACCCCGCCCCCTTTTCTGCATCCCTTCCCAGACCCTACTTGTCTCCGTCCTCCTTCCCCTTTTCGATTCTCGACGCCGGAAGGAGCCGAAGTGACGACGGAAAAAGCCGAAGGTGTTTCCCGAGAGTGAGACCTTCCTGAAGCGGTCGGAAGGAGCCGAAGTTCTCCGGAAGGGGAGGAGCGAGCGAGTAGAACCTCCGGAAAGAGCCGAAGCTTGAAATCGAGTTTAATCTCTGTAGGGGCCCGTGGGCGAGCGCCGGAAACCTTCGAAAAGGGCCGAAGTCTGGGACGGTTAGGATTGTCGGAAGTGACCGACGGCTTGGACAGAGTCGGCGAAAAAGATCGGGGTGAATCTTTGGACAAAGCCAAAGACTGAGACGGTTTGAATTGTTGGAAGAAGCCGAATTCTTAGAGGGGGCTGGGCGCTGAGGAAACCGAGACCCACGGAAACCTCCGAATGTTGAGACCCTAATCTCCGAAAAGTTACCGAAACCTAGGAAGCGGGAGAACTGTCGCTTCGGGTGTTTTCGGAAGTGGCCGAAGCCGCTGCCAGCCTATCCTTTGATCTGCAGTCCGGAAATAGCCGACGCGTTTCGGAGCCAGGCTCGGTGGAGAGGGGCCGCTTGCGGCGGGGGGGGGCGGGCAGGGAGAGGGGGCGGAGCCGGGGCGGGGCGGGGCGCTGGGGGCTTGATTAGGTAGGCGACGAAGCGCCGGCGGCGCCGGAAGTAGCCGAAGCCAGCGGCGGAAGTAGCCGAAGCGGCCAGAGCGGGCGGGCGGCAAGGCGAGGCGAGAGCTGCACAGGGCCCTACGCGGCCGCCTCAGCATGTCGGACTTCGACGAGTTCGAGCGGCAGCTCAACGAGAATAAACAAGGTGAGGGCGCCGGGTTCGCAGGGCGGTGGCGGGACCGTCTCAGGCTTCGCTCCTTGACCCCCGCCATTTTCCCCTCGCGGCCCCCTCCTCAGGGCCGCGCCGTGGGGCCCCCCCCCGCTTTCGGCGCGCGCCTCGTTCACGTGACCGCCGTGTTCCGTCGCGCGCGGCTAGGGAAGGGGCGGCGGGCGCGGCTTGTGGCGCATGCGCGCCGCGCCGTCCTGGTCCCACGTGGTCCTGGCGGAGGTTGCGCGGGGGAAGCGGTGCCAGCGCGCCAAGGTCTTAGACGCAAAAGTTCGCTTTTTCCCTTTGGGTAGGAGACGATTTTAAATCCTGTAATCCCATCTTTTTCACCCGCTGCTTAGGACTTCCGCTTCCGGCCAAGCTCTCGGCCGTGACTCCACGCCCCCTTTGTTTCCAAAATGGCGGTGGCGGGGACTGGGGGGGGGGCCTCCTTCCCTCCTTCACGTGGACGGCCCCCTCTGCAGGCCGCGGCCTTTCTCGTGCCGGTCCCTTTCCGGCTTCTTGGGAACTCCGTATCGGGGCGCTGGGGCCTCGGAAAACGTGTGGGACACCTGTTTCCTCGCGGAATCGGGAAGCATCTGCTCTCTTTGTGCCTCGCACGTGCACCCGGCGCGTCCGGGGCCTTTCTGCGGGCCCGACGTTCACGATCTGTGGAGCGTTTGTGTCCCTTATCCTCAGTCGAGACACCCCCCGCCTGTCCGAGCCCAAACCCGGACGCCTAGCCTCAGGCTTGTAAATGATCTGTGGAGGGACGAGGGAACTGAGGCCCTGGGCAGCGCGACCAGGCGCTGCCCCTGCGGGCGCTCGTGGGGAAGTGCCAGGCCGCTGCCGGGCCCCTCACAGAGGCTGGCAGCACCGAGCTCGGGCCATGCTGGCGCAGCTCGAGTTAGGGACTCGAAGAAGGCCCAGAGCCCTTGGGTAGTCCTCAGGTTTCTCATGTGTCCAGGTTTGGTGTGAGTGAAGGGACCGAGGCGTAGGGGAGGTTGGCGACTTCAGGCCTGAGCTGTGTTCCTAGCTGGAGTTTGGAGGACGGAATGTGACTCAGTTCTCCGTGGAACCCAAGCTGAGTTGATGCGGGAGTGAAAACCGTGCTCGAAGAGGTGCCTAGGGAGTGCCCTGCCTACTCTGGTCCTGTCTAGGTGGTGTACTGCTTATGAGTCCGAATACCTTCTTCGTTGTTTGGTATCTATTTGATTTGAATACTTTTGCTCTTTGGGTTTTTTTTTTTTTAATCTGTACACTGACATCACTATTTTGCCGTTGAGATTTGAGAGGGTTCATGAGAATGATGTTGGTAGTTGGAATTAGACTCTGAGAACTTACCACGTGTCAGGCAATTTGCATAGTTTATCTAACTGAATCCTTGTAACAGCCTTCCGAGGATAAAATAATTACTTCTTTTATAGTGGAAAGGAGACTGAAGCTCAAAAGCTTAAAAACTTTCCAGGGTTCCAGGTGGTCAGGAGCGCTCAGTTTAAATGGGGTAATGTGTAAAGTGCACAGCATGTGGCTGGTTATATGTTAAGCACTTAATAAGTGGTGTTTATCATTGTGAAGTCGCATTCTTAGAAAGGAAGTAGAAAGGCATGTCTTCACATAGACATGGTATCAGGGTTAGGGAAGGGCTTTCCAAATATTCTGCCAAGTCCTTGTAACACTGGGGTAGTGTTATACTTGACATTAACTTAAAAGAAAACAAAGTGTTTGAAGTTCTTTAGGTTGTTTGGGGGTGTAGTTCAGTGGCAGGGTTAATTCTCAGTACTATAAACACTATGTTGCAAGGTTTTATGCAGAGCTGTTTCACTCTCTTGGACTGCCAAGTGGAGCTGCTTTAGAGGGTGTTGGAGGCTGTTGAAAATGGACTACTTCCGTTCTCCTGGGGTGTCCCTGCTGGTGCAGGATCACCAGGGCCTGAGACCTGGGCACTTCTGGGTTGTTGGACCTGCTCCCACAAGGTCCCACAGCCTCCTACAGCACAGCATTTTAGCAAAGGAAGAAGCTTCCTTTCTGTTCTTAGCTGTCCAGCATCAGTGTGGGGGAGAGTTCTTCCCCTAGGGGAGGCTCTGCGCATGCTTCTTTTCTTTGTGGGTTATCCTCCTAACATCTCTGAGCTTCAGGGCCCTTCAGCTACCTAGGTGTACAGGGAATTTCTTTGTCTGTTTCTGAACTTCAGCAGGAACTGCTCTTGGGGCTCACAGAACTGTACCTTGTGCTGGGTATTGTGCCTTTGTGTTTGCCCTAATACTCCACAGTGGTGGTCTGTCCCCAACTCTCTCCTCTCCCAATTCCAGTCTTAAATTTAGTTTTGGCCCCTGAAGAGAAAATTCTGAGAGGACTGGTGCCTGGCGCTCATTAAGGAATATGGCCTGGTGCAGGTTTCATCATTTCCTAGCTGTTAATTCTTGAACAAGTCATGATCTCCCTGGGCCTCAGTTTCCTCATTTGTTATGTGAAATCTCCACCAGTGTGTTTTCAAAGCAGTAATGAGAGTAAAACTATGTAGTGTGGATTCTGATTGTAAGAAGCATCTCAGTGTTACCAAAAGGGAATCTTTCTGGGTGCCCTTTTTCCCCTGAGCGTTGGTGGTTCTGGAATTGAGAAGAATTTACAAGGAGTTTGTGTTTAATCACATTGGAAAGATGTGTTAGACGACACCTAAGATGGGCAGGCTGTAAGGCCCAGAAGTCTAACCTGACAGGCTCTTCTCATTGCCTTTCCCTCTTGCTGCCCCCAGAACACAGCACTCACAAGGCATACGTGTGAACTAGGAGTTTTTTGATGTGTTCATCTTTTGTTGTGCTTGAGGGGTTGTTGTGCAGATATCAACGGTGCCTGTGAATTAAGGGAATAGTATGTGGTGGTGCTCCTACTCCACCTTGAAGGGCCCTCTTCCTCCTTCAGAAGGTGAAGGATCTGGTGGGAGCAGAGCTTTCTGTGGTATTGCTGGCAAGGTTGTGCTGCGTTTTAGCCACCAACTCAGAGGCAGATGAAGCTGAGAAAGCAGATTGAGTCCTGGCAGGGACACAGGTCTCACTCTAGACCTTCCTTTGTGGCTATGAGGGTGTGAGGCAGGGAAGGTTGGGTGGTTTGGGCTTCCAGTCTGGATTAGGTGGCTTTTCTCCACCTGCTGGGGCTTCTTTCCTCTTCAGTCTGCACATTCAGAAAGAGGCCCCTCCCCTGGGGGAGGGTGCTCCTGCATTATTCACCTGGTTGGGAAGGGATGGAGTTGAGTTTCCTTCCTTCCTGGGGTTAGCCTATCCTGCCTGGCATCTGGCCCCTGGGCCTGATGGTGGGGCTGTGGGTGCCAGTTGGTTGCGGAGGTCTTTCCTGAGGGATTGCTGGGTTCCTTCAGGAAAACATCACTGGGTCTCTTGATTCCCCAGCCTCTAGCCCTGCCCCTCTCAGGGACGACCCTGGGGTCAGGCCCCTCAGCCCTCGAGGGGGACCAGGAGCCAGCCTCCTCTGTCTTCTCTGGCTCCTCCGCTCCTCTTGAGCATCCTCAGGTATCTTACACCCCGGGGGCATTTTCAGGCCCTGCCCCCCCCTGGTCCCCTCAGAGTCCTTGGGGACTTGTGTGTGGACCCAGGAGGCCTGCTATCTCCTTTCCCTTTGGGGGTGGCCTCCCTGGGGCTTGGGACTTAGCACCAGCGTGCAGGGTGGGCTGGGCTTGCATCCTTCCTCTGCTTATTCCATCCCATTGTTTTCACCTCTGTCCAGAACGGGACAAGGAGAACCGTCATCGGAAGCGCAGCCACAGCCGCTCTCGGAGCCGGGACCGTAAACGCAGGAGCCGGAGTCGGGATCGTCGCAACCGGGACCAGCGCAGTGCCTCTCGGGACCGGCGACGACGAAGGTATAGGGGCTCAGGAACCCCTGGCTGGGCCTGCTTGGGAGTGGGGGTGTTTGCAGCCCCAGGCTGTGATCTGATCAGGGGTGTGTCTGGGTCATTTTGTTATGCCTTGGGAGAGTTGTCTGCTGCTTGGTTTGTTTTGAATTCAGTTTTCTCCTCACTTCTCAGGTTTATTTCTGTGTTCTGTGTTGGGGATATTGATGGATTGTTGGGGGTGCAGTGGTTTGTTTGTCTGGAGACGGGGATCCCCGTTTCTGAAAGGCTGCTCTCTGTCCCTGATGCTGAGGGACTAAATTCTTCTTTCGTATTCTTCCTTTTCTTTTGGGGACTGTCTTCAAAAGGGTTGGTCTCTGTTTCTTTGTTTCCCAGGAATAAGGGTGTTCTTGGAGTGGGACAGTACTCACAGCCTGGGCTTAATTTCAAGCTCAGGGCTGTCAGTTATATTTGAAGGGCTCTTCTCTCAGGTGTTCTCTCTGTTCTTTGCCTCTATTAGATGAGAGAGAGTGGGGTATGTGGAGGTTCTTCTGCCTTCCCATCTCAGTATCTTCATAGTGTGGTTTTCCTTGGCCCCTTTCTCCCCTTACTTCCTCTTTCCTGGGAGTGGGAGTGGGAGTGTCTTGGGGAAGGTGGACTGGCAGGGCCGAGGGGGGCCTGCATGCCACTCTTCATCTCGGCCCTGCCCCAGCCCTGGGGCTTAGTGCTCTTGGGGGGGTGTGGCACGTGGGGAAGACGAGGGTCCCCAGTCACCCCTCCCCATACCTTTCCCTCCCACCCCCAGCAAACCTTTGACCAGAGGCGCTAAAGAGGAGCACGGTGGATTGATGTGAGCTTCTCTTCCTGCCCCTTCCACCCTGAAGTCCACTCCCTTCACCTTCCTCACGTCCTGTGCACCCTGCCTGGCCTGTGTCCACCCTGGCCCAAGCACTGGGGAAGAGTCTGCCTGCCTTGAAACCAGTGCCCCTCCCCAGTCCCGGGCCCTGCCCTGACCCGGATCCTCTCCCTCCTGGAGAGAGCTGAGCCTATGTGGTGGGGAATTGAGGGGGAGCCTGGGAGGGGTTCCTGGGTGGGGCCTGCAGGCCCACTCTTGGTCAGACTGAGGTTGCCCTGCCCCACTCTCCCTTCCCCTCCCTCAGTCGTTCCCCCCGCCATGAGAAGAAGAAGAAGGTTCGTAAATACTGGGACGTGCCACCACCTGGCTTTGAGCACATCACCCCAATGCAGTACAAGGCCATGCAAGGTAGGACCCCTGAGTGGTCTGCTCTGGAGGGTGAAGCATGGAGGTGAGGGGCAGTTGTCTCCATTTGTCTTTCTGTGTGTGTTTTGGGGGGTTGAGTTAAACCAGATGAAGGGTCACATCCCTGGGCTTCTGGCTTCTGCTGGAGGAGATGATCTGAGGTACCTGTAGCAGAGTTGGGTTGAGGCTTCCACCCGATGCTGTTAGGAAACATGGCTTCTGAGGAGCATCCATTATTGGGTTTTGGGGTCTGGTAATGGAAACCCTGGGGGTGGGGGAGTTTAAGAGTGCTGGGTGGTCCCAAAGCTCAGGTTGGAGGTTGCCTTAATGTAATTTTACTTTGTTTCCACCCCTCTTGAAGCTGCGGGTCAGATTCCAGCTACCGCCCTTCTCCCCACCATGACCCCTGATGGTCTGGCTGTGACCCCAACGCCAGTGCCTGTGGTTGGGAGCCAGATGACCAGACAAGCCCGGCGCCTCTACGTGGGCAACATCCCTTTTGGCATCACTGAGGTACTGCCCTCCCCTGCCCCATCCTCTCCCCTGTTCCCCCACCCTGTTCCTCCCCTCCCCTCCATTCCCTCCCCACACCCTGCACGGGTCAGACTCTGTTCCTGCAAGACCCCCCGGCCCCCTCCCAGACGGACCGATGGAGTTGAGCCAGCCAGGGGCCGGGCTGGGGGTGGCCCCTCCCTCCCTCCCTCTTCCCCTCTCCCCTCTCCCTTCCCCCCAACCTCCTTCAGCAACCCAGGGATCACGTGCACACACGATGAACCTATGTATATCATACCTCGTACCTCGGAGAGAGACAGAGAGGGAGACTCGGACACACACACTCGGACACACACTCAGACGCACGCCCCCTGCAGTTTTTTCTGACACGTTCTCCTTTCTGCCATCTATCCCATCCTTTCCCCCACATCCCTCCCATGGTCGCTGTTCTTTTATTTTTGATTGCCCTGACCTCCCCCCACCTTCCCCACCGCTCCTCTCCCCTGCCCCTCTCCCCCACCCCCTCCCGTGGCACCCCCTGAGAATCCCGAGATCAAAGAGTTGTTTCCATTTCTCTTTAAAGTGAAATATTGTGGGGCTGAGATCCCTCGTAGCAACAAAAAGTTTGCTACCATCGTCGAAGGCAAGTAAGGTCCATTCTGACTTTCTCAACCTGCACTTTGCTACATTTGATAAACCAGCCCCCGGACTCCAGGGCCAGGTCCCTCCACATCACTCTTTTCTCCTCCCCTCCCGCCCCCCTCCCACCCTGCACTCCGCCTCCCTGCTCTGTGCTGGTCTCTCTCCTTCCTGCTTGCCGCTCTCTGGCCGTCCCTGTCGTCTCGTCTGCACTGCGTTCCTCCTTGTCTTCTTCCTTCGGTTTCTTTTCTCTTCCTTTCCTTGTTGTTGTCATTTTTTTTCTTGAATGATTTTCCTTCTCTTTCTTGATTTGTTTGGGGGGCCCCCTGGGGCTCTCCCCCTGCACCTGTCCTGACTGCCCTGTTTGTATCCATCTCTTGTCCTTCACTGCCTTTTGCTACTTCTTTCTCTTTATTTTCTCATTTTTCTCCTGCTTTTGTTCCTACTATTGACCTCTACGCCCCACCCATATTCCACCATTCCCTCCCTTCCCCTTCTCCCTTCCCTTGTCCCTCTCCCCTTACCCCAAACCCCTCTGTGTCTCCCTCTCTCACCCTTCCCCTCCTCTCTCCACCTCCCTCCCCGCCCCTCCCTGTCTCCTATTCCCTCTGCAGGAGGCCATGATGGATTTCTTCAACGCCCAGATGCGCTTGGGGGGGCTAACCCAGGCCCCTGGCAACCCGGTCTTGGCTGTGCAGATTAACCAAGACAAGAATTTTGCCTTTTTGGAGGTGAGCTGGGCAAGTGATGGGGTGGGAGGGGAATGTGTGGTCCCTTGGCATGTTGTGCTTCCCTGTGCTGCCCATTACCACTGGCCCTCTGCTGTCTCTTCTGGTTGCCAAAGTGAGCTAAAAAACTCTGGCAAATCCCATCCTCTTTCCTGCCTGACCTTGTTCTTTATGTGGCTTGGGAGGCCTGCAGACCTCTTCCAGACCAGTTTGATGCCATACTTTGCTCTAGCCATACTGACCTTTTCCAGGACCTACCAGGCCCCCACCAGGGCCTGGACTGAGGTGGTTCATCCTGCCTGGCTAACCGTGTTTCTAACCATGTTTCTTTGTCATTGTTTCTCAACCTTTCTGGTAGAGGACCTTGGTTTTTAAATTTTGATTTTGGGTGGGCCAGTGTTCTTACAAAAACCAGGCATTGCAGCAACACCAGGTTGCTGGGAAAGCTTCTAGGTGCTGCCTCTGACTCTCCACATTGGCCTCGCTGCAGTTCATTTTGAACTCCACAGTTCTAGGTTCTAGCTTAAGTGCTACTTACCAGCCTGCAGTGCCTTCACTTCCTTATGTATTTAACATCCCCACTCTGTCCTCTCAACACTCTGTTCCCCTTCGGTCGCATCAGACTTGCAGCTGTGTGTTTGCCTCTGCATCTGTGTTGGGTGTTGGTGACTGCACTTAGGGGAGAGAGCCTCTAGGACCAGGGATGTTCTGTTGTCCAGCACAGGGCGGGCACAGTGGTGTCTGCTCATATGAGTGAAAAGAAAGAAAATCATAGCCTATCACAGAGCCTTGGGGGCTGAGGCCTGGTCTAGTCCTTGACCCCTGCCCCTTACCACCCCTTCTCTTCCCTTCAGTTCCGCTCAGTGGATGAGACTACCCAGGCCATGGCCTTTGATGGCATCATCTTCCAGGGACAGTCACTGAAGATCCGTAGGCCTCATGACTACCAGCCACTGCCTGGCATGTCAGAGAATCCGTCTGTCTATGTGCCTGGTGAGTGAGGAGCCCAGTTTTTGTGTCCACCCTTCCCGTCGCCAGCATAGCTAGAGCTACTCAGGAAGTAGTGTGCTGCTTTGGATGTGCAAGTCTTCTCTCAGCATGGCAAGTGTGGTCTCTGGGGCCCAGATTGTGAGCTGTGAGCTCCTTGCAGACACACAGCTTGTAAGTTGGCAGGTCAGGACCAAACCAGAGGTGCCCTGGAAAGCACAGGGCTTATAATCTGTTACTTGACTTGTCTCTGCCCCAGGGTCTCTTGACTGCAGGGTCTCAGAGTGCTCGTGTGCGCCACTCTGGTGCACATCAGAAGACCTCGGTAAAGCTCCTCATGTGGGGTCCGACACCTCAGTATTCACTCATATATGGTTTTCTAATCTCTGCTTTGAATCTGTGCTGTGGATTTTTTACCTTGTGCTTGGTCTCACTTCTGATGGGTAGTTAAAAGACAACCAGGGCTTGGCAAATATTTGTGTGTGGGACCTAAGTGATCTGGTGCCTGTGTGCCATTGCACCCTAGCATCTGTGATTGTTGAGGTAGGCACACTGAAGTTTTTTAAGAAAGCTTATGGGCTTTGGAGGTAGAGGCCTTGGGCCACTCTCATCCTGTATTGACAGTAGGTATCAATGAGGATTGAAGCTTGTTTGCGGCCCATTGGGGTGTGAAAGCACTCTGATCCTGGGAGGGGCCAGTGCTGCTGGAGTCCCAGTGAGTGAGGTGCCTGTCTCAGGCATGTTGGAATGTTGAGAATGTGGGGTTCTGCTAGCTGATCCTGTAGAAACAGCTCTACCTAAGCGCACCACCTGGTGACTGTGTGTGGGTACTTCTCCCAGACAGCTACAGAGCATCTCCCTTGGGTCTCCACCAGTGAACTCAGTGTGCTTAAGTTCATTTCTACTTATGTAAATAGCCTGCCAACTGCTGGTGCTTGCTGTGTGCCAGGTACTGGCACAAATGCACTGTCCAGCTCTTCTTGAAACCTTCACAACAGTCAGGTATAGTGTTACCAGTTTAGACTTGTGGGACACATCTGGTCACTCCCTGTTTCTATAGATGAAGATTTATGGGCACAGAGTCTTGTTGCGCATTGCTTATGTGCTGGTAGTAGCCAAGCTGAATAATTGTTGCACAGGCTGAATGGACTACAAAATCAAAAATACCTTTTGCATAGCTATTTACTCTGAAAGTTCGCTGACTACTCCTATATTAGATGTGACTCTCATTTTACATAGGACAGAAGTGAGGCAAGGGGTGATTGATAATCTGCCAAATGTCCTGAAACCAGTGTCTTGGGCTACTACTTACCCTCTGTGTCTCCCTCTCTCAGCTTGACCCTGCGATCCATGAACAGCTATTCTATGCACTGCCTCCTACATACTTGTTACTCTTCTTCTGAAAGCAGAGGTGTGCAGGGGGACAGTTGCTTCTGATTATGCTTCCTTTGTGGCAGGCTTTTCCAGACGTGGCCATTACTATATAAACTGGGGAGATCACTCGTTAGTCTGTCTGGGATGTGCACCTTTGGGGGCCTGTTTGTCCAGTTCTTACCTGTGGTTGGACTGATGAGTTAGGAAATGTGATTCTGTCTGTAGGCTAAGTATTTTCCAGTGTAGCTTTCCTTCTGATACAGCTTGTATTTTGATCTCCCTTTTTAGTGCTGCAGAGAAGGACATTACTCTATAAAGACACTAAAGAAGAGAAAGTATTTGATAAAATGAACAGATCTCTTGATTAGACAGGTTGGAAACTGGAAGACAACTTTCTCACCTTGATGAAGGGGTATTTGATATCACCTGAAGGGGTGCTGTGCAAGATGGTCCAGCCCAGGCGAAGCTTCCCACAGTGGGCCCCAGCTCACCCAGGGTTAAGCTCACCTTTGGCAGTAGCATGAATTGTGCTTGTCTGTGTGCACTGGCGTCCTCCCGTTCTGTAGGTGAAGATGCTGGGCCCTTGGCAACTACCGCTTGACCCCAGGGAGCCCAGCTCTCCTGCCCTCACTGCTGTCTCCCTGAGGTGCAGCACAGTCATTAAGCTTGGATTTGGAGCCTGGGGACACATGACCCTCTTTGTTAATCACCTGCCAGACTCCCGTGGGCAGGGGAGAGGAGCGGTGGGGAAGGTGGGGGGAGGTCAAGGGGAGGTCAGGGCAATCAAAAATAAAAGAACAGCGACCATGGGAGGGATGTGGGGGAAAGGATGGGATAGATGGCAGAAAGGAGAACGTGTCAGAAAAAAACTGCAGGGGACTGCCTCTGAGTGTGTGTGGCCAAAAAATGGCCTGTGGACAGACCTGGAGGCCACCCTTTTCCTGCCTTTGGGGCTTTGCCCCATACTCAGTTTACTCATTTTTGTATTGTAAATGGGGCTTTTGCACACATTGAGCTAAGATTGAAAGAGATTGGGCCATGCCTGGCTTGTGGCCAGCATTTAAATGTGTTGTTGCTTCCAGGATGTTTCTGCTTGTCATAGAGGCATCCAAGCTGGGTTCCCTGTGGTCTCCCTCAATCTGCTGGGGCTCAGCTCTAGGGGACAGAGCCAGCTGGGTTGGTGCCTACAATTCTGTGGGTGCCAAAAGGGCAGGGAGAGAAAGAAAGAGTACATTAGCCCAGAGGGTAGGTGGGGCCCAGGGGCTAAAGTTATGGGGCCTTTCTCCATTTTCTGCCTTTCCTGATCTTCCCTGGGATCAGGATAGAGGTGGGATGGGCCACTAGTAGTTGGTGTGGGGGGACTGCTAAGGAATGGGAGGCTATGTGGCCAGGCTTTGAACTGGGCGGTCAGGGTGGATGGCTGCTGGAGCCTTACAGCTCTTGTCTGACAGGGTAGTTCCAAGAATGGAGTGATAAAGTTGGCCAAGTGTGTTGGAAGCCATATTGAAACATCGGTCAGACACTTGTCTGAGTCTAGAGTAGAGGGCAGGACTGAGGGCTGTCGAATTCACTTAGCTCGTGTCACCATGGGCTGTGACATTTCAATCCTAATGGACCCTGAATATAGCACCCCATCTTGAGTCAGCAGTTTCCACTGAGGTTGGAATAGCTGACACAGATTACTTGAGCAGCCTGAGAGCAGGCCACCTCTGTGGTGTCCCAGATGAACTGGGGCCCAGAGACAACCCACTCTTCTGAGGATAGGTCCCTGAAAGCAAAGGATTGAATGATTTAATGGGGAAGATGTTCCTGGGCAATTGTCAGTTGGGACCTGAGGGGTGAAGGAGGAGTTTGGTGTGTGTCCCAGCAGTATGTCCAGAGTTAAGGTGACTTTTCGGTGTCACACAGCAGCATGTGTGTGCCAGCATGTGGGTCTAGGTGCCAGGAGGCTGTTCTGGGGGGGTGGGGGGATGCTGCTAGCTTGAGGTTCCTCTGAGACTGGACCAGTTTGGGAGACACCCTGTGTTCTCACATGGGGAGTGCTGTGCTTCCTTGCTTGTGTCCTTCTCAGGCTGGGGTGGAGATGAGAGTGATACTTCCACCTTTATCAGGGTGAAGCCTCTGAAGGGCTCATCTTGTCATCTGGGAGATGACCTCCTACTGCAATTGAAATCCTTTTCTCTCCTTAGGAGTTGTGTCCACTGTGGTCCCTGACTCTGCCCACAAGCTATTCATTGGGGGCTTACCTAACTACCTGAATGATGACCAGGTAAACCCCTTGCTCCCTTCCCTCTCCTCCTCCCCCTGCCTGGCCTGACTTGAGCCCTGATGGATTCTTGACCTGCTGTAGGTAAAAGAGCTACTGACATCGTTTGGGCCTCTTAAGGCCTTCAACCTGGTCAAGGACAGTGCCACAGGGCTCTCCAAGGGCTATGCCTTCTGTGAGTACGTGGACATCAACGTCACGGATCAGGTGAGCCCTGGCAGCTGTTTTGCTTCTTCTGTCTTTCCCAGCCCTGCTCAGTTTCCAAGCTGAGGTCTCTCCTCAGGGCATAGGGTGGGAGCTTGGGGCCCTGAATGGGACTCTCCACCTTTCCTTTGATTTTGGCTCCTTCCAAATTCAACCCCCTTTGCTTTCCCCTCTGCCCACCAATGCCCCGGTTTTTGGGGAGGTGCTGGGCTCCTGGGCCCTGACCCACATATCTCCTGCACCCTTCCCACCCCTCACCTTCTGACTGCAGGCCATTGCTGGGCTGAATGGGATGCAGCTGGGGGATAAAAAACTGCTTGTCCAAAGGGCAAGCGTAGGAGCCAAGAACGCCACGCTGGTGAGCCCCCCGGCACGTCATCTTCATTGGCTAGAGGGACCCTGGGGGTGGGAGGGGCTGGTAGGGGACAGGTTCTCTTTAGCTCTGCCCAGCTTTAGCGGGAGGGGATTTGGGGGATCATCAGAACCAGTATTGGGGAGTAAGGCATATATGTGTTCAGGCAGAGGAGTGGCCTTCCTCTGAGTTGGTTTCTGAAGGGCATGGCCTTGAGTGGAGGGAGGCTAGTTTGAATCCCCTGTGACACCTCGCCTGCCCCTCCTCCCACAGAGCACCATCAATCAGACACCAGTGACGCTGCAGGTGCCGGGCCTGATGAGCTCACAGGTACAGATGGGCGGCCACCCTACTGAGGTCCTGTGCCTCATGAACATGGTGCTGCCAGAGGAGCTGCTGGATGATGAGGAGTACGAGGAGATTGTGGAGGATGTGCGGGATGAGTGCAGCAAGTACGGGCTTGTCAAGTCCATCGAGATCCCCCGGCCTGTGGATGGCGTCGAGGTGCCTGGCTGCGGAAAGGTCAGAGCATCCTGGCTCAGCTTATGCCCTCCCTCCCCTGCACCCTTACCGAGTGTCCCTCTGGCCTGGCCAGGGGAGATGCTGGTGACCCAGAGGATCAGGGTCCTCTGATGGAGATGAGCTGTTGGGTCCGAGAACTTAGGCTCTGTGGAAGCACCTTTGGTCTGGAGCCTGGCTCTGTATCTCCCTTGTCGGGTGCCGTGTTTTGCCTTGTCTATGAGATGGAGAGAAAGGCTGTGAGGGTATTCCAGCTCCCGATTATGCTGTGCCTCTGGTGTGCCAGATGCTCTGAGACTAGGGCACTCTCATGGGAGGGGACAAAGCACAGAGGTGACATGCCACACAAACAGGTCCAGGTCCCTGTAGTCTGACTTAAGAGCCCACAGTCATGTCACCCCTGCTCTCTGCCTCAGGTCACTGTACTCACTGATGTATTCAGTATGTCAGTGGAATTCTTACACCAAACTCTTGTCTAAGCAGAACAACTCCTGCCCTCAAGTACCTGAAGTCCTGGGCACTGTTGTCAGGGAATGTATGCCATGTTGGGTGGGAAATGGGGTGGCCCAGATGCCCTTTTTAGAAGGGGTCATTGAGATCGAGAGGTGGCATTAAGAAGACAACAGTGAGGTTCAGTACCCTCACAGTAGGTAGAATGCACAGCAAGCAGAGAGACGACTGGACGTGTTTGGGGACAGTGAGGAGGCCAGTGTAGCCAAGGAGAGCAGTGGGAGATGAGCTCAAAGAGCAGGTGGCCAGGTGGATCCTCGTAGACCCTGGGTTGTGGTTTTGAGTGAAATGGGAAGGTAGCTGCTGGGAGCCTGGCAGGTAGAGATGACTATTATAGTGGGTACTAAGCAGGCATCTGCCCTGCCCTGCAGGATAGAAGTGTGGTGGAGTCCTTGGGGTTCACTGAGGTTCATTGAGGTCGCAGTGAGCAAAATTACAATTGTCAGGAGTCTGGCTCTACGGCTCTGTCAGGGAGGACTCATGAAATTGTGGAAGAAGCTTGGGATTTTCCTGGTCGTGGTGGGTTTTTAAGAAGAGAGAAGGCAATGTTCATGTTTTTGGTGATGTCTACTGCAGTTTGGAAAGTGAAGTAGAGAGGATCCAACAAGAGTAGGGTGATGGAGGAAGAGTTTCCTGCAGTAATCTGTGTGAAATATATTGCCTGTTCTGGTGTAGTCATGTACTATGCAGTGACTTCCTTCTGTGACAGACTGCATAAAGAGCCATGGTTCTGTTAAGACTATTTCCGTGATATTATTTGCTGATAGGGTAGCCAACACAGTTTGTCACAGTAGTGAAATGGACCAACTAGTTGCAGGGGGTGGAGGGAAGCTGATGGGTTTGAGTTAAAATTTTTTTTGGGGGGGTACTGGGTAGAGCTCAGGGGCACTTAAACACTGAGCCACATCACCAGCCCTTTTTTTGTATTTTATATAGAGACAGGGTCTGAGTTGCTTAGGGCCTCAGCCTTCAGAGCTGCTGGGATTAACAGGCTGAGCCATTACACCTGCAAATTGATGGGTTTGTGAGAGAGTTAAGCCTTTAAATTTCCAGTTCTTGGTGATTGGTTTGGGTATGTTGGGACAGGGAAGGAGGAGGTCCAGGAGATGCTGGGAGTGGCAGGTGAGAAGGAAGGTTGATGAGCTGGTACTGGTTGATTGAGCTGCAGCCAGTGTTGGGACAGCTAGCCTTGAGGTTTATTTCAAACATAGTTTAGATGTCTTTTGCCTGAGATAATAAACTTTTTCTGTTAATATCGGGCTAGTTAGCTCTGCTTTGGGTGTTTTGTGCATCCTAGGCGCTTAGCTACATCCCCAGCCTGTACCTACTAGATGGCCAGCAGTGCTACTTCCCTTTTTTGTGACAACTCCTACATCTGAAGATTGCTCAGTATGTCCTGGGGACATGTCTCCCCCTAATTGAGAACCGTTGATCTAACCAAATAACCTTAAAATGTTTTTTTTTTTTAGTTTGGTGTGGTACATGCTTATAATCCTAGTTACTTGTGAGGCTGAGGCAGTAGAATCACAAGTTTGAGTCCAGCCTGGGTAGCTCAGTCGTAGGTAGATCTGGGTTCAGGCTCCAGTATGGGGTGGGGGTGGGATTAACAAAATCATAATATACTCATTACAATAACAAAGTAAACATTAATTTCTTGGTATCTACCTATGTTCAAATTTATTACTGTCTAAAGAATGTGTTTTGAATTAAGGATTCAATCAAGATCCCCTCTTACCAAGTTTCTCATCAGTTTTATCCCCATATCTCGCTCCCACTTTTGAAGTCAAGCTGTTTTATGTGTTGAAGAAATAGGGTCATTGGTTGTATAGAATTTAGGCTCTTTATATGCTCCATTTTCTCTAAACTGGTTGCTGAAGCACAATTAGAAGTTTGAATAGATTCAAGTTTTTATCATCCTGGATTTGAATTCTAGCTTCTGGCTTCCCTTACTTCATCCCTTACTTATCTGGGGAAAAAAGCATGGCCCTCGGTGGCTCTGGATGCTCTCCACAAGGTGGCTGGTGCAGAGTAGACAGAGTTAGTGACTTCTCTGGGCATTTGGTTACCTTCCCAGCTGTCCTGCGTGATTCAGGTGACTCTCGGGCATGCCTCTGTTCTTTCCATGCCTGTGAAGTATCTGATCTGTGTTCCCTTGTTTTATGAAACTGCACCTATAGTTGCAATTTTTCAGAAAGCTGTGAAAAGGCTCTTTTTCTTTCCCTTCTCGCTGTATCAGTCATGGGCTTGGATGGATGTTGGTAGGTTACTGGGAGGCCAGCCTTGTTCACAGACCTGCCTCTTGTTCCCCACAGATCTTTGTGGAGTTCACCTCTGTGTTTGACTGCCAGAAAGCCATGCAGGGCCTGACGGGTCGCAAATTCGCCAACAGAGTGGTTGTCACAAAATATTGTGACCCCGACTCTTACCACCGCCGGGACTTCTGGTAGAGGTGGCCTGGGGAGGGTGGGGGCAGGGCTGGCTGGAGGCTTCTCTCCCCGCCTGTCCCCCCCTTTCCCCCCTCTGAAGATGATGGGCAGAGGAGTGACAGCCGAATGACAGCCTGACAGCCGGCAGCAACTGGAATGGCAGCAATTAAGGGTGGGGGGTGGGGGGGTTGGGAGGTTAGGGCAGGGAAGGGACTGGGGAAGTACACACAGGCCCACACAGACACGCACCCACACAGACACAGAGGGAAGGGGTTGGGATGGGGACGGGCACACAGCAGGGTGGGTAGGACCCCCACGGCCCCTCCCAATACAGCCTTTCCTCCCTTATACCCCTTTTCTCCTCCCCTTCCCCATGGTAGGAACATAGCGTGTTTATATTTTATGGCCAAACTATTTTGAATTTTGTTGTCCGGCCCTCAGTGCCCTGCCCTCTTCCCTTTGCAGGACCACAGCTCCCGTCCTCTGGTCCTCCCTGGTCCCCTCCCTGGTTTCTGAAGTAGTTGGTTCTCTATGGCCTTCCCTGACTCGCTCCCACCCTAGTCCCGTGACCCCTGTCCCTCTCCTCCTCTCTGTGGCAGTTTCATATTTGCTAAGACGAATTTGCTCATTAAACATTTTGTTGTATTTTACTTTATGGAGACAATCTGTGTCCACTGTGTTTCGGCCCTGCGCGGCGGGTGCGGGCTGGAGATTTCGCCCTTGGGAGGGTCTCTCTCCCGATACCCGGGCTGGGTGGGAGGGTGCAGGGGTCCCACGTGGGCTCCTACCTCGCCAGGGGGCTCGCGCGCGTTGTGGCCAGGTCCGGGGCCTCGCGGAGGGGGCGGTGACGGGCGGAAGTGGCGCAAGAGCGCCTAACCTGGAGGGTTCGTGTGCCGGAAATGATGCTGCCCGGGCAGGCTTTGGTCGCGGAAGCGGGGGCCGCCGGAGCCGGGAGTAGCGCAGAGGGCGGGGCGCGCGATCACTTCCGCTTCCGGTCCGTCGGCTCCTTCGGTTGCTTCCCGTCCGCTCGGCGGCTCCCCTCCCCCGCCCGGCTCTCCGCGCCCCTCCCGGGCGCCGGGGCGGCGGGGCCGTCGGCGTGCGGCTCTCCGTGCGTCCGCGTGTGCGCCGCTGTGAGCCTCCGCCGCCCGCAGCCGGCGCGCGCCCCGCGACACCGAGGCCGAGCGGGGGCAGGGGGCTGACCGCCATGACCCCCCGGAGCCCCGCGTGAGGGGCCAAGGTGAGCGCGGGCCGGGTACCCGGGGCCGCCAGTCCGCTCTCTGCCCGCCCCGTGCCGGGCGCTCGGGCCTCGGCCGCGGCGCGCGGGCTCCGGCCGGGCCTCTGCTCTCTCCAGTTCCTCTGGGTTTCGTCCGCCGTCGTCCGTGGCGGCCTTTGTGCCTCCGCGTCCGGACGGGCTCGTCTGTCCGCTGTCTGTGCCTCTCTCGGTCCGGCTGTCAGCGTCCCCGTCTCCACTGCCCCTCTGCCTGGGTTGCTCTCTCGTCGCCCGAGTCGGTGTTTTTACAGAAGCGTCTGGAGCTGGAGTGCCTGTGTGTGTCTGTCTGTCTGTCAGGCTCCTGTGCTCGTCTTCCCGGGTTCTGTTTTCTCTCCCGAGCCTCCCCCGCTCCCGTCCCCTTCGCCGGTCTCCTTCACGTCCTTCCGGCGCGCTCCTGCTGGGTCTGGGACCTGCGCCTTTCGGGGTGCCAGGGCTCGGTGTGTGAAGAGCGCCCGCTCTGGTCCTGGTGTGATACCCGGCAGGTGACTTCGCTCTCCAGACCTTAGTTTCCTAGTCTTAAATGTGTGTGGTTGGTACACGCAGGGGTCTGTGCCTCTCCATTGAGGTGGTATTGAAAAGTGCCCAGTGTGTCTGGAACAGTGTGTGATTAGCTGGGAGCTCTGTTTATTTATTTTTTAATTAGAAATTTTTGTCTCACTAAATGTTTTATATTGGTCATTTGAGTTCCCTTTTCGAAGTTTGTCTGATATAGCAGTTGTATTCAGCTTAATTCAGTAGTTCCCTTTGTATCAGTTTGATTTGAAAAACAGCTTCATTCTAAGGGTGCCTATGGATCTTTGACTGGAGAGGTGTGTTTTCTAAGAGTGTTGAAGTAAGTACATGGCATTAAGATAGCCTATCTTGGGATGCCACCCTTTGGAAATGTTCTGTGTTCCTCTGATAATGATTGCAGACGATGTTATTGAGCGACTACTATCTGTGGGGCACAGAGCCAAGCACTTTGTGTACCCATCTTACTTAATCAACAACCATGCCAGGTAGGAATTCTTTCATTTCAGAATTGAGCATACTAAATCTCAGGGAGGCTTGCTTTGCTGGTTGCTTCAGAATTTGAATCTCAATTTCGTTTGTTTTCCCATTATATCCTGGTTTTTTTTTTTTTTTTTTTGTCTCTTGTTTCTCGGTCCCAAGCCTTTCTTTTGTTTCCGGCCTGTCTTTTCTCCCTATCCTCCTGCCCTGCTCTCCTCTCATATTTTTGCATGATCCTTGTGTCTTTGTCTCAACATGCCTCAGGGCAGCCCCCTCTGCCCAAGTTTCTCCATATTTCTCTCCCAGTATCCTTGTCATTCCTTTTCTCTGTCTGTATTTGTCACATTATCTCTTCATCTTCGTGTCCCTGGCTTATCTTGGGACTCTGGCTGCCTTTTCCACTTAGTTGTGGGCAAGGTTCTCTGCCTGAGTTCAAGGCAGCCACTCTTATTCACCAGGGTGTCCCCTGGGTTTAGGTCATGGTAGGGTTCAGTAAATCTCCATGGTTTGTTGGAGAGGCATAGACTGGTGGTCAGAGCCTCTTCTGGACCCAGGCTCCTTTAGGTGTGAGGTGTGTCCTAGGCAAGGGAGTTAGCCTCTGTTTGTTTCCTCCCATGTGAGGTGGCTGGGTTGCATGGAGATGTAAGGATTAGTTGAGTTAATGGGTGTGAAGCACTTAGAAGGTGGCTGTCATGAGGTGAGAGCTGTGCAAATGCTTGCTGGTACTATTCTCATGAGCTTGATTTCTGCCTTCTGTCCAGGTCTCATCAGTTGGTCTCAACAGGTTCATTTAATTTAGGTTAATTTAAAAGTGTAAGTTTTAGAGCTCAGGTGGCCTTGGTTGAGCCCGCCTTGCCATTTCTGATAAGACGGTGGCCAAGTTGTTTAACCTCCAGAGCGCAGTGTCTAATGCAGTGTTAGATGAGATAATGTATGCCTTACGCTTAGTGAGGCCTGACACATGGCTGGGGCCCATCAGTGGGGCTCTTATATCCCTTATGTCTCCTTCCTTGAGTTTTCCTTCCAGCCCTTGGGAGGGACGCCTGGTTTCCAGGCATCCCCCACTTCCTGCTGCCTTGGAGTGACTCTGGTCTCCCTACCAACTCCTCAGTCCCTCACCAGCCTCCTCTCCCTTGTGTCCTTGTTCTGCCCTGGATTCTCTGCTTCTTCTATCCAGATCCAGAGATCTTCCCTGCCCTCTTTTCTTCATTTCCTTCCTGCACCATTTATTCTATGATTTTCAGAGTTTGTAGGAAAAGCCATGTCCAAACATATGTATATGGTTTCTGCCCTGTGGGGCTTGTGGGTTGACCTCAGCCTCAGAATCATATGAATGAACTCAACATCATGAGGGCTACAGAGTCTGCTGGGAGGCCCCTGGGAAACCGTGATCGTGATGTTCAGGTGCAGATGTGGGACTGGGAGTCTGGTGAAGGAGGAGAGCATGAGGGCAGGGTGATAGTCTCGTGACCTGCCTGTCCAGTCTTTACGGAGGTCTTCTGTTCACCAGGTCCTCTCCGTTCTCTGGACTGCCACACAGATCTCCGTTTTAGAGAGGGTAGGAGTTTGAGGCCTGCCCAAGTTAGCCTGGCTAAGAAGGGGCTGAGTTGGGGTGTGGCCCAGGGCAGTATGACTTCTGTGCCTGTGACCTGCTGTATATTCTGCCTCACTGAGCAGGGACCTAAGCAGGAAAGAGCTGGGCACATTTGAGGAACTGAAAGATGGCTTGGGTGACTTTCAGACAGAGGTTAACAAGGGACAGAACCTTGCAGGCCACAGTTAGGGGCGGAGTAGGCAGCCTCAGGGAGAGGCCGGAGAGAGGGGGCTCTGGCTGGCCTGTGTCTGGTTTGTGTTTTTAAAGATCCTTTCCCCCTTCAGATGCAGCAGTCTGCCAGCATCTGCTGCAGCCTCCCTCTGTGAGTTGCCCCATCTCTCCACGCCCCTTGACGCCCCTGACACCACCGCCGGGCACCATGTCGACCTCGTCCCTACGGCGCCAGATGAAGAACATTGTCCACAACTACTCGGAGGCGGAGATCAAGGTCCGTGAGGCCACAAGCAATGATCCCTGGGGCCCGTCCAGCTCTCTCATGTCTGAGATTGCCGACCTCACCTACAATGTTGTGGCCTTCTCGGAGATCATGAGCATGATCTGGAAGCGGCTCAATGACCATGGCAAGAACTGGCGGCACGTTTACAAGGTCAGCACCTGGTCTGTCCCCTGGGGCTGGAAAACTGGGACAGCAGGGTGTGCCCTACAGGGGAGCTTCTGGTTCCCAAGAGGAGTTGAAATGCTGTGCTTGTATGTAAAGTCTCTTGTTTAATGACAGCAACAAATGCAGTTGATCCTTGGTATCCCTATGGCATTGGTTCCGGGTCCCCTGCATTTACCTAATCCAAGGATGCGTAAGTCTCTTCTGCAGATGGAGTGGTATTTGCAAATAACCTACCCATATCCTTCTGTGTACTGTTTATCACTTCTAGGTCACTTGTTGATTTCTGACACAATGCTAACGTTATGTGAGTAACTCTGATACTATATTTTTTAGGGAATAATGACAACAGAAAAACTCCGTACACATTTAAACAGTTTTTACCTCCAGATATTTTGGTCCATGGTTGGTTGAATCTGGGAATGTGGAACCTGTGGATCATGAGTAGCAGATCTATAACATTCTAAAGAGTTTTGACCCTTGTGTAAGTCTACTTTTGAATGAGTGAAATATCGGTAAGATTCGTGTGCTCAGAGATTTAAGGATTTAAGAGGGCCCATAGTTCCCTCATCCAAGGACATTCTCATCTGCGTCCCCATCCAAGCACGGGACCCCTTTACACAGATGACACTGGGCTGTGGGCATGTCAGAGAAGCATGGGGAATCTCAGCTGCCTTTCTTGAGATTTAAGAGGTCAGACCTCTCGGCTATACTCTTTATTGCTGCTGTGCAGCAACTACTAGGGTCTGATGTGCAGACCCCAAGACAGACAACAGGTGAGTGCTTGCCAGGAGTCAGGGTAGGGTGATGAGAGAGGGGCAGCAAAGGGAAGTTTTGGGTGACAGAACAGCTGTGTATCTTGGTTGCAGTGGTGGTTATGTGCTGGGGCACTTGGTCAGAATTGGGACTGTATGTTAGAAAGAGTGGGTTTGACTGGGTGGTGCATGCCTCTAATCCCAGTGGCTCAGGAGGCTGAGACAGGAGGATTACAAGTTCAAGGCCAGCACCAGCCACTTAGTGAGGCCCTGTCTCAAAAAATGAAAAGGGCTGCGTGGTAAAGCACCCCTGAGTTAAAGCCTCAGTCCCCTGAAAAAAAGAGTAGGTTTAATTGTATGTAAATTAGACCCTGATTTAAGAAAGAAAAAGTGAGAGAGTGTTTCTTTTTACAATTACAGAA